TTTAACTAATAATTCAATTGATACATTAAACCAACAACAACAACAACTTGAAAAACTATTAGATACACCAGAGAACGAATTAAAAGAAACTCTTGATACAATAGAAAGTTCTGTATAAGAACAACTTTTCTTTTATTTATAATTAATTAGTTTGTTTATGAAAAAAAAAGAATAACAATGAACAAATATATTTTATGATTACAATAGATATTTATTAAGAATATATTTTTATCTTTTAAATATTCAAACAATATACATTAACAGACATTTTCATAACTCACATTATTTATTCTCTAGAGTATATAATTATCTTATGTTAATCATTTGTCACATGATGGACATAAAGTTAATTAAGAAAAGTCAAAATAGACAAGAATTACATATTAACTAAAGATTAAAAACAACATTATTATGTTTATTCACCAATTTGTTCTCGTTAATTTCTCATTAATAAAATAACAACAGTAATACTGTTTCTTTTCAAGAAATATTTTCAGTCTGTTATTAGTTAAATATCTTCATGAGTATGCATAAATGAATAAATATGGATTCCATGTGGTATCATTTATTTCTGTCTTATAATGAAGATTAATGATTGTTTATAAAGCACAGCTGCTTTGTAAATTTTCTTATACTAAATGATAGAAATATATCAAGAATTAAAGTTTGTGAATTTCAAATGAATTATCTGAAAGATATTTTTATAAAATGTTTTTGTTTTTATGTTTTAATCATTATACTATGACATATATTTAGTTGTAGTTAATCATATGCCAAGTTGGTCTCTAGATGATACAATTAAAATGAATATTAATCGACTTGTGTTTTTCTTTTTACTGTAAAGGATTGATAGAATTGAAATATTAAATTGATCTTTCCATGCGAATCTATTTCTCATTTATTTATTTCTAAACCTAAAGAATATCCGTTTAATTCTATCTGAGAATGAAATTAACTATATTGTACTCCTCTACAGACTAATTATATTCGATTGTCTTCAATTAATTTCCGTTTGTTAATTATCTAATTTCGTGATAATATACTGATCTAATTCTTATTATTCAGTGATCTTAACGTACGTTCAGTACTCGCTACTGTTAATCGATCCGAGAGCATTCAATTAAAATATAAATAGTTTTTAATGTTAACTCTAAATATAAATAATGAATCGTCGTATATTTCAAAAAAGAACGTAATATGTTTTTATCCTGTTTACAGCAGAATGCCGAAGAAAACTAAGCGAAAATTTTGTGGAGAACTTCTACCTATTTTGCTCATAGATAGAAATTCAATTCGAAAAGAAATCTTCACAATGATATCATCGCCATAGGTTTTATTGTAGTTTTACTGTTTTCTATATATATAAATATTGGAATATTTCAATGAAATTAGATAATTCTCTTAAAAACTCATTATATATGTATGTATACAGTATGTTGAAATAATCTATCGACAGATTCAATCTTTTATATTCAATTCATTTATGTCATTACTAAAAGTATCGAATATCTGATAATATAAGGTTACATACAAGTAGTCCTATTTTAATACATAATATTTGATTCTGTAAGCATTAATCAATATTAAATACACTCTTCTAAGATTTTTATATCCAGATTATGTTCTATCTATGAATAAAATAAGAATTTGAATAGAGAAATTTAATCTTCTTGAACTTAAAACAGATATTGGCTTCATTTATACTCATTCATAGATAACATTTAATCCAACCAAGATAAGTTCACACGACTTTATTAGATCTTGATTATGATATTCATCTGCGGAATAGCATTATTTTTTCTTTGTAAACATTTCTACTCCTTAACATTACAATAGTATCTAAATATGTTTCAATAAAATTAAAAAACTTTCTGGTCAACGAATGCATATCTTCTCATACATCAGGATACCATATCTAACTTTTATTTTCATTTTACGTTTTATACTCCAAATAATTCTTACCATTCAAGTTTTTGAAGACATTTTTTGGGGTATCACAGTAGTCAACTCGAAAAATGAAAGTTCAGTTAGATGAGAAGTATATAAAAAAACGCACAAGTAGCTGGAATTTAATATAATGCTCTCATATTGTGTCTTTTCTATGCATTCAACATATCTGAAGAGTTCTAGAATATAATAATTGACTTGAAAACACTATTTATGACTTAATAATGTATTCATTTCTTTTTGTCTTGTTATTAATTTTATAAGTTTATTACTAGTAATAAAAGTAATATAGTACCTCTAATGAGCAGTTAATCAACAAATTAATATTATGATTTTCATCTTCATTCACATTGTATCACAAACAATTCATCAGACATATACGCTTCATGGTATAGCTCTTAGGTTTTGACGTAAATTCAATGATTGAATCATTTTTTAAGCTGTCAATACTGATAAAGTTCATGATCATACAATTAGATATTATTTCAAAGATAGTATTACTTGATTTGCATTAATATGAAACTTCTCTATAGTCCATATTTTGATAAATAAATGCAATTAAACTGTTTAGTTGAGTAAAACGGTCATGACCTGATCGAAAAAACATGGTTAATTATGAACTCTTTACGGACCATATTTTTATCGTAACTCGGGTCAATATTTTACAATCATATTTAATGAGAATACGATATATATATACACATATACATGACCGTAAACGGCTGTATAAAGCGACGTTACGCTTGACACTACAGATATCCATAACCATCGTTCTAAGTGAGCCGGAATTCTTTCAAAACTTTTTCTTTTATTTCAATAGCATAGACAACGTCAGTTTGATAACAAAAGTGACATAAGTCAAATCGATAGTATAATACATTTGTTGAATTCTTAGATTATCGTTTTACTATTCAGATATATCTAAATTCGAAGTATGATATTATCTTTACTCAATCTACTCGATCAATTGATGTATAACTATCGGATACTTCCCCCATAACGGTCAAAGTGCATAAAGTCAACAAAAAAAAGAGAAAAGAAAAAACTTTTCTCATTTTACAGCGCTATCTATTCAAACATTGATCTTATTTTTCTAATTGGACATATATACTTTAACACTTCAATGTCTCTACTTTCTTTCTATCAATGAAGAAGATAGTAGCGCTATGAAAAGTGGCATTGTATATCTAGCCAAATAGAAAGAGTTCAATTAATGTCAGTTAACTCATCATCATTAATAGACGGACGGCATTATAGAGGAACGAACAAAAAAAAATCAAGATGGGAGATAAATTTCGTTTGTCTTTCTTTTAGTATATTCATTTGTTCTAGATGACATACTAATAACAGACAAAATATTATATTATGTCTGACGAGCCAAATATGTTATCTTCTAATGAAGATAATGGCAATAAAAAATCTAAAGTAAGTTTATAAAATATTTGTCTATAGCAAAAAAGAAAATCTTCTTTTTTCTTATATAGGATCAAAAATCTTCGAAAGATGTTTGTGATGAATGTGGAATTGAATATATTCCAATGAAATATTCTGATAATGATTATGTTAATCTATCTACATTTAAACTGTTTTCTCAAAATGTACGTCCAATAATAAATTCTCGCTATCCAAAATTACCCACACAAAAAATAATGACTTTAATGGCTGCATATTGGCGTGAATTTCTTGAATTAAAAGGTGCACAACAAAATGTTTCAAATAATACATTAACTGAATCGAATAATGATCATGATGTTATGGATACGGATGAACCACGTCCAAGTCGTTCACGTCGTCGTCGAACAGCACCACAAGATGATAATGATCAAGATGATGCAAATGAACAACAAGATGATGATGATATGAATTCAACTGCTTCACCACGTAATTCAACAACTAAAAATCATAATAAAAAAATTCCAGCTTTAAAAATAAAATTACAAAAAGATCAAGCAGCTGCAGCAGCAGCTATGGCAGCAGCTAAAGAACAAGCTATTGACGAAGAAGAAAATAAAGCAATAAAGAAATCTACTCGACCACGAAAACGTAAAAGACGTGATGATGATGATCCAGCTAATGAATCTGATGCAGAATTTGAAGCTATGCTTGTACAAAGTGAAATCAATGAAGAAGAAGAAGTACCAAAGAAAAAACGTGTTAAAAAACTACCTAAACCACCAAAACGTATTGCAAGATTAAATAATCGTCGACAATTACAAGCCGCAGCAGAAGAAGCAGCTAATTTACCACTTGATCAAGTTGGTTATGAAACTAATCATCAAGATTATTGTGAAGTATGTCAACAAGGTGGAGAAATTATCCTTTGTGACACATGTCCAAAAGCTTATCATCTTGTTTGTCTTGATCCTGAATTAGAACAAGCACCGGAAGGTGATTGGTCATGTCCAGAATGTACTAAAAACGGTATATCAATACGTACAAGACAAGCTGCTGCTATTGCAGCTGCTCGACAAGCAAAAGAAGAAGATGATAATCATATGGAATTTTGTCGAGTTTGCCGAGATGGTGGCGAATTATTATGTTGTGATCGATGTCCATCTTCGTATCATATGCATTGTTTAATTCCTCCAATGACAGTTATACCAGAAGAAGATTGGTATTGTCCAAGATGTACTGTAAGTATTTTTTTAAACAAAGAAGTTATCATAGTATTACATCTATTAATATATGTTATTTATTTAATTAGGTTGAAGCACCACCTAATGTTGTCAGAAAAATTCTTACATGGCGTTGGGTAACTCATCCAGATCCTCATTCATCTGCAACAACCGATACAGTAACATCTGAAGTTACTAAAGTTGATGAAAATGGTGAAACAGCAACTACAACAACTACTATTATTGAAAAACGTATAATAACAACAACAACTGCCGATGCAGTACCTCCAGCTGATGGCGCAGATACTGGTGCTGATTTTCAACAACGTCTTATTCCAACATTTGACTTAACTTTACCACCAGGTACGCCACGTGGTCCACCTAAAACTCGTGAACTTTATGTTAAATATGACGGTTTATCATATTGGTCATGTGAATGGTTACCTGAATTACAAGTTGAAGTTCATCAATCATCATTATGGCGTTGTTATATTAAAAAAATAGGCGATGCTAAACAACCTCAACTAACAGTTGATATTGAAGGTGAAGTTGAAGGTGAAGAAGTTGTCGATGATGAGGTATCTCGTCGTTATTATAATCCAAAATTAGAACAAAGATATTACAAAAATGGTGTAAGACCAGAATGGCTTTGTGTACATCGAATATTAAATCATCGAAAAGAAAAAGGTGTACCAATGTATTATTTGGTTAAATGGAGAGAATTAGGTTATGAACAAGCAACATGGGAACTTGAAAAAGATGGAGAATATACACATGAAATTGAAAATTGGCAACAACATATTGATAATTATTGGAAATTAAGGTAAAGAAACTAGATTTTATTTTTATTTTAAATTAAAAAATAATTTTATTCTTAGAAATGGTTCTGAAGCTGAAGAGAAAAAAAAGAAAAAAGCAAGTTCAACGAAAACTACACGTCGATCAAATCGAGAACTTGAAGAAAATCGTTCAACTGATGCCAATGGAGATTCAGGTGATGAATATGAACGTTCAGGAAAATATCCACCACCACGTAAACGTTATGAAAAACAACCTGATTTTATTGATGTCACTGGTGGTACACTTCATCCATATCAATTAGAAGGTTTAAATTGGTTAAGATTTTCATTTTCACAAAATACTGATGTTATTCTTGCTGATGAGATGGGTTTGGGTAAAACTGTTCAAACAATTGTATTCTTACAGGCTTTATTAAAAGAAGGTCTTTCACGTGGACCTTTTCTAATTAGTGCACCATTAGCAACAATTATTAATTGGGAAAGAGAATTTGAATTTTGGGCACCAGATATGTATGTAGTAACATATACGGGTGATAAAGAAGCAAGAGCTGTTATACGAAAACATGAGTTTTCATTTGATGGTAAGAATAGTTTTTATATTATTATTATCGGTATTGACATAGAAACTAATTTTAGATGATGCAATTCGTGCTGGTCCACGTGCAAGTAAAATTCGTAGTGGTGCCAAAGTTAAATTTCATGCATTATTAACATCCTATGAATTGGTTAGTGTGGATTCAGCTACACTATCCTCAGTCGATTGGTCTGTTTTAATTATTGATGAAGCTCATCGTTTAAAAAATAATCAATCAAGATTTTTTCGAACATTATTTGAATTTAATATTGGTTATAAAACACTTCTTACTGGCACACCATTACAAAATAATCTTGAAGAACTTTATCATTTATTGAATTTTTTAAAACCTGATAAATTTAGTGATATGGATGGATTTTTAAAAGAATTTAGTGATTTAGCTAAAGATGAACAAGTTGCCAAATTACATGATATTTTAGGTTCACATATGTTACGTCGTTTAAAAGTTGATGTTTTAAAAAATATGCCAACAAAATCAGAATTTATTGTTCGTGTTGAATTAAGTCCAATACAAAAGAAATATTATCGTGCTATATTAACAAAAAATTTCGATGCTTTAAATGTCAAAGGTGGTGGTGGACAAGTTTCATTATTAAATATTGTTATGGAATTAAAAAAATGTTCAAATCATCCATATTTATTACCTGCTGGACAATTTGAAGCACCACGTACAGCAAATTTAGCTTATGAAGGCACAGGATTAATAAAATCATGTGGAAAATTAGATTTATTAAGTAAAATGTTGAAAATATTAAAAGAACAAGGACATCGTGTTTTAATATTTTCACAAATGACAAGAATGTTAGATATATTAGAAGATTTTCTAGAATATTTGGGTTATAAATATGAACGAATGGATGGTAAAACAGGTGGCTCAGATAGACAAGATGCTATTGATCGTTTTAATGCACCTGGTGCTGAACAATTTTGCTTTTTACTTTCAACACGTTCAGGTGGTTTAGGTATTAATTTAGCTACAGCAGATACAGTTATTATTTATGATAGTGATTGGAATCCACATAATGATATTCAAGTAAGTTAATAATCTCTTGTATTATATATTATTCTCTCTCTCTCTCTCTCTTTTTTTCTCTTTAGGCACTTTCTCGTGCTCATCGTATTGGTCAAACAAATAAAGTTATGATTTATCGTTTTGTTACACGTGATACAGTCGAAGAACGTATAACACAAGTTGCTAAGAAAAAAATGATGTTAACACATTTAGTTGTTCGACCAGGTGCTGGTCGTGGTACAAATATGAGCAAAAAAGAATTAGATGATATATTACGTTTTGGTACTGAAGATTTATTTAAAGATGATGATGAAGTTGTTGGCAATGGTGAAGGTGGCGAAGGTGGTGGTGGTGCAAAAATTCATTATGATGATCAAGCTATTGAAAGATTACTTGATCGTTCACAAGAAGGCATACAAGAAAAAGAAGAAGGTCTTAATGAATATTTATCAAGTTTTAAAGTTGCATCTTATGTAACACGTGAAATGAATGAAGAAGAAGAAGAAGATTATCGTGATTCAATACCAGTACCACCACCAACTATGGATGAAACAATGGAGGCAAATTATTGGGAAAAATTATTACGTGTACAATTTGAACAAGAAAGAGAATTAGAAAGTCATGCATATGGTAAAGGTAAACGTTTAAAACGTCAAGTTAATTATGCTGTACCAGCAAATGATGAAAATTGGAATGAACATAATTCTGATATTGCTAGTGAATATGATGCACCATCAGCTGGTGGTGAAGATGAAGATGTTGATTTCGATGAAACACCTGATCGTCGACGTAAGACAGGACGTGATCGACCATTACCACCATTAATATCAAAATCTGGTCCAAATATTGAAATCTTAGGTTTTAATCCACGACAACGTAAAGCATTTTTAAATGCAATTATGCGTTTTGGTATTCCCCCACCGGATGCATTTAAATCTCAATGGTTAGTTCGAGATTTACGTTGTAAATCTGAAAAAGAATTTCGTGCATATGTTTCATTATTTATGAAACATTTATGTGAAAATATAACAGAAAATTCCGAAACATTTTCTGATGGTGTACCACGTGAAGGTTTATCTCGACATCATGTTTTATCACGTATTGGTATAATGTCATTAATACGAAAGAAAGTTCAAGAATTTGAAACTGTTAATGGAGTTTGGTCAATGCCTGATCAAACACCAATGAATGATAATTCAAATGAATTAATTGATGAATTTAAACCAATCAATGAAAAACCAATAACAAATAATAATAATAATAATGATAATAATACTAATATACAATCAACAGAATCTAATGAAACATTAACAACAATAAATTCAAGTAGTAATTTAATTGGTGAATCAATGAGTTTAAGTGATTTAATAAATAATAAAAATGAACAAAATGATGTAGAAATGAAAGATAATACAAATAATGAAGAAGAAAAATCAACTAATGATAAACAACAAATTAATGAAGAAAAACCTGATATAACAAATCCTCCAGTTGAAAATGTTAAACCAACAAATAATAGTCGTAAATCTCAATTAATTCGTAATGAAAAATTAAAAGATTTTAAATTTATGTTTAATATTGCTGATGGTGGTTTTACTGAACTTCATTCATTATGGTTAAATGAACAACGTGCATTAACAACAAATCATGAACATGAAATATGGCATCGTCGTCATGATTATTGGTTATTAGCAGGTGTTGTAACACATGGTTATTCACGTTGGCAAGATATACAAATTGATCCGAAATTTTCAATTATCAATGAACCATTTAAAATGGATATGGCGAAAGGAAATTTTCTTGAAATGAAAAATAAATTTCTTGCACGTCGTTTTAAATTACTTGAACAAGCACTTGTTATTGAAGAACAATTACGTCGTGCTGCTTTCTTAGGTCTAGCTATGGAACAAACAAATCCAGCATTAACACTTTCACAACGCTTCAGTGAAGTTGAATGTTTAGCTGAATGTCATCAACATTTATCAAAAGAATCATTAGCAGGAAATAAACCTGCTAATGCTGTACTTAATAAAGTTCTAACACAATTAGAAGAATTATTAAGTGATATGAAACAAGAAATAAATAAATTACCAGCTACATTAGCTCGACTTCCACCTGTTTCTCAACGACTTAATATGTCCGAACGTAATATTCTTTCGCGTTTACAAAATGGTCAAAGTCAACCACCGTCATCAACTCCTCCACCTCCTCCGACAACAACAAGTACAACAACAAATGGTAATGGTTATGCTTACACAAATTATTCAAATTTTATTGGACCATTTGCACTTCCTGCATCTAATAGTACAAAAACAAGTAAATAATTTATAAGAGAAAGACAGGTGAAATTTTCATTTTCAATGATTATAAAATCAATTCAAACTTTTCCTTACTCAATAAAGTTTAAGTTTAAGTGTAAAAATAAAGCTGAATCAAAACAAACTTATTCGTAGCACAATTGTTGAATAAAAAAAATTCACTGATATCTTTTTAAACAAAAAGATAGATGATGTTTTATTTAGTTTTCAATCTGACTATGCTCGTAAGAATGTTTTGTATTCTTTTATTTGATAAACAATGACAAAGAAATATTTAAATAAATGAGAAAATGAAAATTTCTTTAATTAATTTTTTGAAAAAATTTATTTTTCTAATGAATTTTTGTTTTTTTAAATAGCAACAAATTCATCGAATAATATTTCAGCTACTACATCGACAACATCCGTTGATTCATCATCAACACGAAAATCTTCAACACCAAATCTAGTTCAATGAAATTCTCATTAAAATGATCTGATTTAAATCAATATACCGAATCTATATGTCTAGTTGTCTGTACGTCTATAAAATAAATAGCTTGTATATGTATACATTTTCTTTTCTTTTTCTTTTCTCTTCTTTGTCTTCTTCTCGTCATTCATTCATTCATTCATTATTATTATTATTATTAGTTGCTATTTCTTTTTGTTGTTGTTGTGTATTCAAGGAATTTACATATGTGTGACATATAAATATTAAAAGTATATAGACATACAAAACTAATCTATATTGATAAGTATGAAAAACATTCAATTATGTTTTTCCGAATTGATTACAAGGAAATTTTTGTCAATTGACAGTTATTATATCATATATGATAAATCTGAAACTATTTGTTTGAAAATGAATTTCATGTTTACATATTAAACGAACATATGATTGCTATTCAATATTTCATTCATAGGTTTTGACCTATTAACAAATAATATTCAATATTCTGTTCAAATACATTGTATCATGGCAATGACAACAATCATCTTTCATTTTAGGATCTCGAAGGATACGCGCGAGTGTGAATGATAGTGATCGCAGTGTTTTATCTAACGGGAAGAGTAACATTTTGCATTCTTAAAGACTGCGTTTGTCCTCCTGAGATTTACGATTTTTGCGCCCACCCCGGATAAAACACTAAGTGAAAACGAGGGCAGACGAATGTGAGGTTGAAAAGGTTCGTTTTGTTCCCAAGCCCCCATCCGCACGTTCGTATATCCTAATAAGTATTCAATATCTATATTAGCATATACATTTTTTTTCCTGGATTTATAATCTTAATCATAGTTACTGTTGATTATATATTGTTACGAGATTTAAATAAATTCTCTCTTCTTTATTTTTAACATGTCCTTACAAATAATGTCCTTTTATTTATCCAATAGCTTTTCCAAACACATGACGAAGCTATTAGATTAGACATAAGCTTACAATTCTCTAATGATGCTAGATAACACATACGTCATTCTATCATAAGCAAATAAAGTAGAGTATTTTATATGAGTTTTATTTTTAGAATTTATTTTATTTGAAATCAAGCATAGGAGTAGTTTATTATAATATATGCATAGATCTATAGAAAATGTTTAACCATATTTGAATGGATGCATTTGATGAGTATCATCTTTAGTTTGACCTAAAATAAAATAAAAATTTTATTATATTAGATGAACGATTGTATACGAACCATAAGCACATAGTGCAGATGTAAGTGGTAATGGTCGAAGTTGGAGTCGATAATCACATAGAGCTGGGTTACGTTTATTTACCCATGGTGTTGCTAATTGAACTCGTTTTGATAACTGACGCTTTTCCATATCATCATAATCTTCCGAATCATCAGTTTGAAAAAATAATCGTGATGGTAGAGCAAAAAGGAGAGATACATTCATTAATATAAACACAAAAATAATAAATGAACGCATTTTTATCAATCAGTTTTCAACCTTTGTTTATAGTACAAATTTTATAATAAACTGCAATATTTCTCTAAAGCTTACCTTATTATATCGACGACAGTTCATACAAAAAAAATGATTTTTCTTTGTGTTTCATCCTACCTAAATTCTAACACTCTATATAAGCAGTTTTAAAGACATTTGATTGAGATGACACTTTCTAATTTCTCTAATCTCAGTATGGTTACATTGGATAAAATTAATATAAAATTTAATTATATGTACATCATTAATTATTTCTTTTTTTTTTGATTCCATCATTTGTCTGCTATTGAACACGCAAATATTTTGCATGTCATTTTAGATTTATTAAAGCAAAAAAAAGTGAGAGAGAGAGAGAGAAAAAGAATTTTCATTGAAAGGTTTTGTTTTTTTGTTTATTATTATAATTATTAATATTACAATTTTCATCAACCCCATCGCATAAGATGATCAGCATTAGGTGTTTCATCCATTCCTGATGGTTTGAAATGTTGATAAGTTGATACACGAAACCATTGATTTCGATTTGCACGTGGATAATTCACTGATGATCGTAGATATCGATTAGGTGATATAAATCTTATATCACCTTCTTCACTAGTAATCGAAGGAGAATAATCATCACTTTTTGAATAAGACGTAGGATGAGATAATGAGGCACATGAGATAAATGATGTAAAAAATAAGAATGATATAAGACCAAATGATAATAAAATATATTTCGACATCTAGATAATAAAAAAATCAAAGAATATTTTAGAAGAAAAAAAGTAATAAAGAAGAAGGAGGAAGAAGTAATTTTTTTATATATAATATAAATTTAATAGCGGAAATAACCTTAAAACAAAATTGACTTTTATGCCTACGCCTTCTCTGTATTATTAAAATTTCTATTACGTAAATATTCCTAAATGAATTAAGTTCAATTAATTCCAAAGTAAATGTGATTATATAATATTAAAATTCAATAAAATCATATTCATATTGTTTGTTTGCAGTAAATTTAAGTATTGTTTCACTTTGATATTTATTCGTAGGAAAATATTTACATAAAGGAATAAATGGAGGTAAATATTTTTGTTGATATAAATTCCAAAAATTAATTTGATTAAACCAAGGATGTTCAAAAATATCAAGTATACCACGTTGTCGACAACCAAGACGTTGATTAATATTATGTTGAAGTAAATCATGAATGAGTATAGTGCAGTTATGTGTTACATCTTCAAGATGCATTGATGAACAACCGGTGATTATACGATGATACCTATATTTAAATAAAACCAAACATTGAACTTATTGCTAAGGTTACAGGATGTGTCTGAAATGTTAAGGGTTTTGATATTCATTGATACTTACCGTTTTTTTCTGTCTGATGACTATGCGTATTCATTTGTTAAATAAAGATTTATAAAAAACATTCTCTTCTTTTATATAGTTGGTTTTAATGTCATTCTAACCAAACTTCCTTTCTATATAAATATTATCTTTTTGTTTTAAATAGATTTCTACTCGTAAATGATATTGTTCATATATGATAAGGTATCTCAAAAGACATCCTACGCAAATTGACGTTCATCTGGTATATTAATAGTAAGGAATAAGTGATGATAGATGAAAGAAGTCTTGTGACTTTTCATGTAAATTAATTGTAGTCTTTGTTGTGTTTCATAGAATTTATATTGGAAGATTCTCTGTTTTATCCTCTCTTGATGAGTTAAAGTGTTTTTTTTGTTACTAAGAATAGCTCATTTGATGACAGGTTTTTTTTCTACACTTACAGCTACTTCCTGTAATAAATGATGCAATAAAAAAAAACAAGAACTTATATTAAATATGATAATTGAAATGTTCACTTTTAATTTACTGATAGTAAAATGTCATGCATCCTTCTGGTTAAGATTAAAAATAACTGTTGATTAGATCTGTTTCTTATTCAAATTAAGTTCCTGTCTAAATATCTCAAGGTCATCTTAAATTGTCAGTTTTATCAGTAATGATTATAAGAAGAAAAAAGAGGACTTTATACTTATTATCTAGAAATAAATTAATAAAAGAATTTTACATATTATAATGTTTTGACGTAGGTCGAATAATATCTGATGAGCTATTTTCAATAGTACTTGTCGATCGATTATCATATTCATTTTCAGTCGATTCATTTTCATGTATTCGATATGTTCGATCATAAGGTGCAATACCAGTAACCATTTCATGAATAATAATTCCTAATGTCCAATAATCAGGTGAAATTGTATATGGACGATGCATAAGTATTTCAGGTGCTGAATAGAAAAAGTATTAAAATAAAGAATCAAATTTAAATAAATCAATACCAATATAATGTGGTGTACCACAAAATGTTTCACTATAACCTCGAATAAGTTTTGCTAAACCAAGATCAATTAATTTAATATAACCATGACATGTTAATACGATATTTTCTGGTTTTAGATCACGATAAACAATTTTACACTAAAATAATCAAATGTATCTCTTAAACACCTTATGAAAAATATACTTTTATAGAAATTATACTAACACTTTCTTTTTATATATTTCAGACAAGGCCCTAGTAATCTTGTTTTAATCATGTCTTTTCTACCTCCGTGAGTACTCAAAAATGATTCTTATTAGGAATCGTTTAATATAAATTTAGCATACTTAGAATTTTAATCAACGTCAATAGAAAACAAGAAGATAAAGAGAAAGGCACGTTGAAAGAATATCTTATTAAATAAAAGCGCAGTATTTTCCTCCTATTAAAAGAAGTACTTAATTGTTCTGGTTGACTCGACTGATGCAATATTGTTATTGGAGAAAGTCAACCTGAACGTACGTCGGCAATGTTGAACCGAAACGCATCGATCGGTAATTGAAATAGTTGGTTAAGTTCTATTCTCTCTCGTACTCGCTATACTATTAGGATCACAGTTTTTTTCATAATAAAAAAAATAAATAAAATTTTATTATTTAATATTTACTAAATACCCCGTGCAAATAATCAAGAGCCATGACAATCTGTGCTGCAAAAAATTTCGCTTGAAGTTCAGTTAATTTTTGATAACTCATTAATGAATATAAATCTCCGCCTTGTAACCATTCAAATCCTATATAAACATATTCATTATCCTTAAAACTTGTAATAAATTGAACCTATAGGATATAAAAATATTTAATCAAGATTTAAATTAATTTTGTTTACAATATTTGGATGATGTAATGCAAATGCATATTGTCTTTCAGATAGAATTGTATTTTGTTCATCATTTTCAATTAATGTTGATTTTTTAATTGCTTTCAATGCAACATATTCATTTGTATTATTATGATAAGCAAGAAAAACTGAACCATAACCTCCTTCACCTAATGAATGTATAAGCTTGAATGAATCAAGTGAAAGATTTTCATTGGCTCTCAATTGTGTAGTTAAAAATTTATTAAAATTCTCAATCATATATTGACGTTCTTGTAAATATTCATTGAATTCATTTGATTTTGATTCAGTTATTGAAACAAGAGAAAAACGTGAACGAGTTTTAATTGATCTTGTTTTTCGTTTATTTATACAAAATTGATTCTCAAATAGATTTGATTCTATATAAATAATATCAAGTGTTTGGTTTATAAATGAACTTGTACCATTCAATTTCGATTTCATTTAGTGAGAAGAAAAAAACAACATGAGATAAGGATATATTTTCTATTGTTTAGTAACTATGTTAGTTGTTTTTCAACAGGCGCCCCAAGGACATTTATCGAGAAACGTCTATTCTCTAAAAATAATATTCTT